CCCTTGACGTTGTGATTCTCAACCACCGTGCGGCGATACACTAGTGTGACGTAGGATCTTCTTAAGTGTGAAATATTGTCACGGCATACACACACACATATATATATATATACATACATGTGTGTGCGTGTGCGTTTGTGCGTGTGTGTGTAATTAATATTGGTACAGCTTTAGTATTTGTATAAATAAATAAGTATTAAACTTTTTTCAAATAATTCTTTTATGATCCCTATTATAGTTACCTATCTGAAATTGCTTGATGAAGACATCGACTACTGAGCACAGAATGGTATGATTGGATTCAAAATCCCTTCATCAATGTATCTTTTAATATTGGACTTCAGTTATGTGAAGAAGAAGAAGAGAATTGGTCACCATTTCTACTGATGGAGGGCTCAAAATAAAACATTCATCGGTAACTATTGATACATTTTGGATTTAAATAGAAAATGAATATCCCACATTAGCTAAAACGGCTTTATAGCTTTATCAGTTTATTGCAATGTTCTACTTATTGATGTGAATTAGTCTTCTCATTCCTAAATAACATCAAAAATATGAAATAAGAAAGACTACGCTCAACTGAAGAAAAAAAGATCGTCTGCTTATCGTACATTTGACAAAATATTGAAGAAATCGCGATAAAACACCAGACCCAGGTTTCACATTAAATAAGTTGCACATATAGTTGAACAGAAACATTAAAATAAAGTTCATATTTGTGTGTGTATTTTATTAATATCTATAGTTTTATTTTTATAACATTTAAATGTACACCCTTTAAAAATTCTGCTAAGTGTGCCGTAATATTTTCATTTGCTCTAAGGTATGCCGTTGCTTAAAAACTTTGAGAAACACTTGTAGTAGATTACCAAAAGTAAATTTGTGTTTAGGCTTTTACAACATTTCACCATTCTTGGTAGATCTTCTATTATCACAAAGTGGGATATTTAATAAGAGAAGGGATAAAAACATAAACTAAATGAAATTGTCTAGACTAAATGCCCCCAAAACATATAGTTGAACAGAAACAGTGAAATAAAGTAAGTTCATTTTTTTATGTGTATTTCTTTCAAATCTATGGTTTTATTTCATAACATCTAACAGTCCTGGGTACGACGATAAACTACGTCCAACAGCAAGACCTCTAATCAGGAGGTTTTGAGGAGCGTGGAACCACCTCTTAATTGCTGGTGTTCCCAGGTTCACCCTGACCCACGGTGATGGCACGTATTAGGGTCCGAGATATGGGCGAATACTTAACCCAGAAACTGGGGTAAAAACACCATGCAAGTGTAAAAATAGGTTTTAATACCAGAAATACTTTGTAAAAATTTATTATCAGCAATAAATTTTTAAAGAAAAAAACTCTTACCAACTACGTTTTTTTTAAAAAAAAAATTACCAGCAATACATTTTTTTTTAAAAAGTATTACCAGTTATACATTTTTTGAGGCAAAAAAATATTAGCAGCAATACTTTTTTGAAAAAAATCATTACCAGAAATACATTTTTGAAGTAAAAAAAATATTACCAGAAATAGATTTTTGACAAAACAAAATATTACCAGCAATAAAAATTTTGTCGGCATTAAATAACCCAATGAGGTTGATATGCTGTAAAACAAACCAAACCAAATTCATAATATTTAAATGTATACCCTTTAAAATATTTTCTAAGTGTGCCGTGATATTTTCATTTGCTCCTTGGTGTTCCGTTGTGAAACATTGCCTTAACGTAACCCTCTACCTCGAGTGGCCCTCGGGCATTGTAAAGGGCGAATTTTACTGTCAATAAAAAAAAAATTGTTATTACTTACAGTTCGTTTGAACAATTGCTTGTTTTCTCCATACGATAGCCGCTACAAAGTACATGATAAAGATCTGCCAAGGCTATTGATGGATAAGGAGAAGCCCCTGCAAAAGAAAGCAATAATTAGAATATAATAATTTCAAACATATAAATTTTAACAGTGCATTCAAGATTCTTGACAGCGTCCTAATTATCCATAAAATTAACCAAAAGCCCTTCTAGATAATTATTATAAAAAATTATAACATCAACACCTAGTAATAAAAGGCGACATTATCAGATGATACTGATCATTTGATAACATAATTTTTAATGTCATTTCATATCTCGACGTATGGCTCCCCCAAAGATACCTCTTCTTAATTATTTTTAAATCATCATGGCTTCTTGCGAGAGATAGTGGAATGATTTTTCCGTTGTTTTCCCCACAGCATTGAATTCAAACTTGTCTTTCGCTTAAACTAGCTGCCAACCAAAGTTGAAGAGCTCTGTCTACGCTATTATTTAATCCATAAATGGGGAGTTGGGTGAAGAGACTGACTTTTTAGCCCAGTTCTAACAGTAGAATTTGATTGCAATCCAACTAAGACATTTTTAGTGTCATGTTCTTTCAGGACGTAGGCAATCATGGCTCTCCACATATCCCTTTTTCTTAATTATCTTTAGATCGCCATGACTTTTTGCAAGGGATAATAAAGTGATTTTTTGTTTTCTCTCAGTTCTGAATTTAGAGTTCCCCTTCGCTTAGACTAGCTGCCAATCAAGGCTGAAGATCCCCGTCCACGCTACTATTTAATCCATATCTGGGGGTTCTTTCAATCCAACCAAGATATTTTTAGCATCATGAAGGCTATATTTCTTTTTTTTATTATCTTTTCATCGCCATCACTTCGGTTGTTTTCTCCACATTTGCCAAAGAAGGATCTGCAAGGTAATCGATACTAACCTGGCATCTCGACTTCAGTCACTTTCTCACAGACCTGATGTGGCTTCCCTCTGTCTTTTCTAGAAATATTTTCATAGCAACTCCCTTTTTCCCTGGTGCCCCGACTATATGAATTCAAGCGTGCTACTAGATTTAGAATGTATGTCTCACACTTCTTATTATTGAAATAGTTAAATCTAACCGCCATTTCTGCTCTCACAGTTTATTTTCTCGCACTTCTCGACTGTGGAACTTCCTTCCCTGATAACTACAATTTTCAAAAATTTAAATGCAACGTCCATCGCCATGTCCTGTTGACTCGAAGCCTGTTCATCTTTTATCCTTTCCTCACCCCCCCCCTATAAGCAGTTTTTTCTTTCATTTCCATTCTCTGTATCCCCCCTTTGCTAGTGGCACTCTCGCCTTGCTTGGGGTAGGGAATGATTAAAAATTTTTGAATTCAGGGTTGTTCTTTTCTAGCTGCCACCGAAAGATGGATATCCTGTCTATGATACTATTTAATCCATAGTTGGGGAGGTGGGAGAAGAGGCTGAATTTTTCTACCCCGGCCCTAATAGTAGAATTTGATTGCGACGTTCAAATACTATGCCGTTCCAGGACATAGGCAGTCATGGCTCTCCATTTTCTTCGTTATTTGCGACTTCCCATTATGGCTTCTTGGGAAAGATAGTGAAGTGATACTCTGTTGCATTTTCCCACGGTTTTGAGCTAATACTAATCTTCTTTTTTTTTTTTTACTAGACTGACTGCACCGCAAGAGTAAATGACCCGGTCTACCCAACTATTTATGGAAAAAAGAAGAGATGAGTACATGTCCTTCCCAAGAATATTTGTGAGGAAGTAAATCCAACAGACACGGTTAGAATTTGAACCCGGCTCGCCAATTTCAGTTTCTGCGCTCATTTCTCTATTTATCTTCGTGGCACTAGGGCATCTCTTATGTTAACTGTGATGAAAAAAGGAACTCAGCCAACATATTCCCAAGAGACGCATGTTAAAAGTCAAAGAGCCGTATGTGGCTCGTGAGCCGCAGTTTGGTCACCATTGTATATGCATCCACCTTGGTATATATAAAACAGCATATCGCTTATTATGCACACGATTTCATTCAAAACTAAGTACACTGATGAGTTAATTAAGACAAACACTATTTTTTTTTAATCTTAAAAAATTTAGTAAGAAGCTTTATGAATAACTTAAATTGCATTACCCATAGTGACAATTTCCCAGAGTAGGATACCAAATGACCACACATCGCTGTGCGTTGTAAATAACCGATCTCTTAGAGATTCAATAGCCATCCATTTAATGGGCAGTTTCCCGTTGGTCAGTTTTTGGTATTGGTTGTCCTTATATATATCTCGGGAGAGGCCGAAGTCACAAACTTTGACCACTTTTCCGCAGTCAAGTAAAACATTCCGGGCGGCAAGATCTCGATGGACGTATTTGTTTTCGGCCATGTATTCCTGAAAGAAGGCAGAAAAAAAATCTATAAGAGTTTTGAAAAATGACAAATAATATACATACGTTTTAAAGAGCTTTATTGGGTGGACCAAAATTTAATCAGTGCTATAAAACACACACACAGATATATCTCTGTCTATATTTCTGAGATGAGGTATTATGTACACTATTTACATTATTCGGACTATTGTCCTCATCTTTGTCGCCATATTTATTACAACATTTCGGCCTTTCAGTATCTGTCTATATTTCTGAGATGAGGTATTATGTAAACTATTTACATTATTCCGACTATTGTCCTCATCTTTGTCGCCATATTTATTACAACATTTCGGCCTTTCTGTATCTGTCTATATTTCTGAGATGAGGTATTATGTACACTATTTACATTATTCGGACTATTATCCTCATCTTTGTCGCCATATTTATTACAACATTTCGGCCTTTCAGTATCTGTCTATATTTCTGATATTAAACATGACACGTGGAACTTGAACAGTCTACCCCAGTGAGCGAAATAAAGGGTCCAGTTCGACATTTCAACTACCTGAAGAAGGCCGGAGCGTACAACGGCCGAAACGTTGTAATAAATATGGCAACAAAGATGAGGACAATAGTCCGAATAATGTAAATAATGTACAGATATATCTATATATATATATAAAATGGAGGATGTATATGTGTCTGTGTGTCTGTCTGTGTGATACTTTTTCACTTGAGATCCATCCAATCGATTTTGACCAAACTTGGCGCAAACGTTGTGCAATGTAAGAGATAGGTTCTCGGCGTAAAAAATCGATAGTTTTCAAAAAATCAATAATCGATAAAGCCGATCAAGAATCCTTCGATTTCATTCAAACTCGGTTTGTAGGTTACTTACATCATGGCGAGCTCAACGATAACACAGTTTTATTTCTACGCCGATGCGTTTAGCGAAAAACGAACAATCGATTTCAACACAAATTTTAAAGTAAAAACTAGCCCAATTTTCAAGCAAAGTAATACAACCTTCACTCATTTGTAGCCAACAATAAGTTGATAGATTAACAGTCATTTAACTTGATATTTGAGTTCACCCAAGTAGTGAAACCCACGTAAATAGCGAAAAATGGCGATTTTTACTGGTTTCTTATTTTTTTTTGTTGATCTTTCAACCAATTTTCATCAAACGTAACAATTCCTTTATAAATGTATGTTCTTTTACATCCCTGGTAGCACACTGACAAATTGAATTTCAAAAATTCCAAAATAATTGTGGTCTGAAGTAGGTCTTCATGTTGCCTGTTTTACTCCTTCATGTCCTCGGCTAACTTCGATTGAATAAATACAGACGACTTCTGTTATATCAGTAGCTGCATTAATTCAAAATTTTTTTTAATGGAAGTTCGTTAAAGTAATTGAAGAATATAGATTCTGTTACATCTAAACATGATACTGTTTTTGCTCCATTCTAATTGAACGCTTTTTCTGATCGACCAGCTTGGTATGGCTGCTAGTATATATATATATATATATATATATATATATATATATATACACACACACATATATATATATATATATATATATATATATATATATATATGATGAAGAAGAGAAAATTGAACAAGAGAAAATACAGAATGAATAACAATACAGACAAGAATACTGGAAGGAGCTGACCGGTTTTCGTTACACTCTTCTAAGATTTAATACAAATTGTCTCATTACACTGGGAGGAAATGATTTTTAAAAAAGCTAAAATGTCTTCATTACTCTGCTTAAAAACTCATTTTCACCCAAACCCAGATTATTAACAAAAGTCTGAAAACCGATTGTCTAGACGTGTGGAAAAGAAAAGAATAAGAGTTAATATGGCTGACACGATAATAATAGACATGCAATTAGCATTTTGTTGGTGTACAGGGGCACTGGACCGATGGCTGACTCGTCTGTGAAATGGAAAACATGAGATTTTGTTTTTTTTTTTTCAATGTAGTGGTGATGGGGTGGGGGTCCACTGGGACAGGCTAACTTCCGCTGAAGAGACGTCTCTTTTAACTCTGTAAAAACATCTGACAAACTTTTTATTTCAAGTTAAAAAGGAAAACGTTCATTTTTATTGTGTGTTATTTACGACGCTTTGATTAAAAGAAAAGCATTCAGATTTACGTTACTATCATAGCTTTTTACAGTAATCGGACCATGCAGGAGCAAACAGAAAAAAGATTCGTTGAAAACATAAGAAATTGTGCTAAACTACTATGTTCTTTTTCGTTTTTTAATCATTTCACTCCATGCAAGGTAATAAAGCCACTCAGACACAAGTGTGAAATAATAATAATAAGAAAAAAAAGGAAACATTACTAAGTACCGAGAACAATAGAAGAATAATCAAGAAAGACAGTAAATTGATTGGAAAAGTTTCCAATACCATTTTGTTTTTGGCAAAATTCAGGTAGCATCCGAGACGAAAAAATATAATGCAAATCGAAATATGTTTTTTTTTTTTTTTTTTAAATGTGTTATTGATTACAGATACAAACTTGTGGAGCGTACAGTCACAACGCTAAGGTTGAACTTTATCAAAAACAAAGTAGATTCTAAGTCTGAGGATGACCGGAGGACCGTCGAAAGTACTTAGGATCATAACATTCATTGAGTGAATAGTGGGTTAATGCATCTTTAAAATTTAGTTAGCGAAGGGATTTCGCCATTTTATATCATTAATTTTACTAAATTACTCTTTGTATGAATGCTTGATTGTAATATAAATTAAAGTTCACCGCATATTTAATTTATATATATATATATATATATATATATATATATATATATATATATATATTAAATTAACTGATTTAAAATATGGTTCCTTCGCTACACCGGAATTATCATGTTTCAAAAACCCGGAGCTAAAAACTTCAAATTTAATTATACAATTAAATTAAAAGCATTAGTTCTCTTTCAAAATTCGTTTAAAGATGAAACAGAACTAATGCTTTTAATTTAATTATATAATTAAATTTGAAGTTTTTAGCCTCGATTTTTGAAACATGGTAATTCCTGTGTAGCGAAGGGACCATATTTTAAATCAGTTAATTTATAATATTTATGCTCTGTAAATTTACATTGAGCACTGTTTTGTAAAAATAAAAATATCAATAAGAACACTGGATTATATATCTTACTGTTCTTTCTTTTTACTATAATATATATATATATATATATATATATATAAAGAGAGAGATACATTAATATATATAAATATATATATATATATATATATATATATATATATATATATATATCTTATTTAGAATTCTTTAGAAGTTTCTAAGCAGTTTGTTTCAAAAGTCTGTCAATATTACGACACTGTATATCTTAATAGCTATTGAGGATATACAAAGACAATTTATATTATATTTCCTGAAAGTTATTATTTCCACGTTTCTATACAGGTTTTTACAGGTGTTCATAGTCAGCGCCGCGGGTTACACGACACACATCCAAACGATAATCCAGTTATTCACGTCTTCAGATCATCCACGTTTCAGGGAAGAGGAGGTACTTACACGAATCCTTTCACATACCCGCAGAGGAAGAAGAAGTCACTTTGTTTGAATCGTCCGACTCATTTGTCAGGCAGAGTGGTGTTCCAATGCTATCTAACTTTAAGACTCCAGTGAGGTGGTGCTTCTTTCTGTTGGAAAATGAATTCTGCAGACTTGTCCTCATGCAATTTTTCCATCAACCGCTTTTGCACCATGGCAAGGTACGCTTCACCATTGACTGTTCCTTCTTCAAAGAATATTGGTCCATAGGCAGGTTTCTTAAACATAGCACAGAACACGTTTACGTTAGGAGAATCTAGCACATACTTAAAAAGTTATATAAGGCTTCTCAGCTCCCCCATATGAGTGTGTTATGCTTGTTAACTTTGTCACTTACGTGGACAGTCGCCACGTTTGCTAAAAACAAGACGGTCATTAAATCCGTCTTCTTCCAATCTCTCTACCATTTCTGTGCAAAATTCATGGCGAAATTAAATTAACAGAAGAAAACATGATACGTTTAGCTTTTAACTGGTACCAGTTCAACCAGGCTACCATTTTTAGTTCATGATATAAGCGTACGTAGAATGTGACATAGACTTCTGAAACACATTGTATATAGAGATAGAGAGGGAGGGAGAGGGGAGAAGGGAAGTAAGACGAGGTGATGAGTGGCGGTGATAGGCAGAAAGAGTGTGAAAGGGAAACAAGTGTAACAATAAAGTACGAGGTTTCATCGTGGAAAAGAAATAACGCAGGAGGCGGCGGGGTGGCAGAAATCTCAAAGGAAAACAGATATATAGGCAGGTTGAGATGGGAACCAAAGAAAGAAGAAAATAAAATGATAGATGCTCCAAAACGAAAGACAAATCCCACCCGTAACTAAAAAAAAAAAAAAAGAAAGATGGCAGAAGCCTTTTTATAATGACGTTTGTTCACGTGACTAACCCCAAAAGGCATCAATATTTCAGGAAAAAAACGACTTTTTAGCTAATACACTACCACATAATCCATGATTGTTTGCCTTCCTTCAACAGATTCGTCCATTTGTTCCTTTCTTCCTTCTTTTCTTGCGAATTTTTTCTTCTTTGTGTCTTCAGCTAACTGTTTTCTTTTTCTTCTTTTACGTTTTTTTTAAAAAATATTTTCTCCTTCACTTCTTTGTCTTTTTTGTACATTTAGTCTTTCTGTCTTTCTGTCATTCTATCGTTCTGTCTTTCTGTCTTTCTGTCAGTCTATCGTTGTATCTTTCTATCTTCCTTTTAAAATAATTTGTTAAGTGCTTTATCCTTTAATTTTCATTACATTTTTCTTTCGTTGATTTTCCTTAATTTTTCATTCATTTTAAGTCAATTTCTTTTCTTTTTTTTTTTACAAGTGTTTTGTATTTTTTGGTTCGTTTATTTAAAACTTTCTTTCTTTCTTTAGTTTTTCATTCTTTTTTAGTTCTTTTTTTTTAGTTCTTTCTT